CATAAGCAGCACTGTTGAAAGGTGAACCCTTATTCTTCACTTGGGTTTTTATCATTTTATACATATATTATTGATATTACCAGTGCCATTTGATACTTTCCATTTTAACCAAGATTTTTGCATATTTTTAGTGTATATAAACATAAAAAAGACAAGAACATGTACATAACAGACTTAATGAGGTTAATACAAATTACAAAATACATTATAAATATTTTCAAAGCTATGGTTTAAATGCCAAAAGCTAAAAAAAGTTAGGAATCAATAGAACAATTTTGGTATTGAACTAAAGGACTCTTGGGAAGTGACTTATGGGAGACAAAAGGCAGATCTGAAATTATATTTTTAAATGCCTCTGATTTTGAATTCGAAATGGAGAAATTAAGGGGATTATGGAAAAAAAGCTATAGAATATATTATTTAGTAATTGCTTCATTACAATAATTCTGTAAACTTTAATAAAACAAAAACATATGGATAAAACATGTCAAAAACCTACATTTCTGTTGAAAATATTATACTTTCTTTCTCACATTACATTCAGTAGCAAAAAACATTGCTCAAGATTTATCAGTTAAATGCTTACTTTTGGATTTCCCCCGGACTCCTTGGCAGCATAAACCAGCTGTAACGCACATTCAGAAACCGTTTTTGTTTGGTCAAGCAAAGCCATTTGCTGTTTTGAATTTAGTGTTTTGGTAGCACTACCAATAGCACTTTGTACAAGTGGATGAAAGTAATTCACCAACTGGGAAACCTGAAAAATAATGAATAATCATTTTAATTTTATCACTGTCAATGTATGTGTTACTTTCGCACAGATTTATACATGTGGGTTAGTTTTGATAAATATTTTTGATACTATTTTACTAAAATAAAATCAAATAAGAACATAGCACCATTAAATACATGGCGTATTAGTTGTCTGCATGATGTGTGCTTCTTGATAGTTTAAGTTACTTTTCCAACATCATGTTTTATGTTTGTAAAGACCTGTTTTTTTAAAAAAAAAAGCAAATAGCTGGTAAACTCATACCTAGAAAAACTAAATAACTGTCTATCCAAATAACATACTTAAAATATCTTAAACTACAGAAAATATTAATAAAATACATTATTATCATGTTCAACCTAATCACTTTAGCAAATGTTCACCACCAGAACTTGTACCTTAAACAAAGATAAATAAACATATATAAAAGTGCAATAAACGTATTGCATGTTTACATACAAGTTAATCAGTACTTTCACTTGTGACATTCATGTATGGGAGAAAAAGTAAAAATTTTTGTTTAAATATTGTCAACAACAACAAAAAACATAACTCACTACATGACCCAGTTTCTCAGCTTCGCCTTTAGATGAAGTTCTGACACTGTCAATCTTGTCCATAATTTCCATTGCACTGTTTTCCATTTGTTCCTGAAATCCCTATGATTAAAAGCAAGGGATTATAAACAATCATGCACATGTATGGTTTAATCACATAGCGATGATCAACTCCAATTCTTTAAAGTTGTGTGCTGCTACAGAGGCACTTACAAATGAACATTTTATTGTTAAATCAAAAGAAAAATTCCCACTTTATAAGAGCACCAGATTCACTGTGCATTGTATGGCATCTTGTAGGAGAAACAATATTTTTCAAATTAAATGTTCAGTAAAGTAAATAAATCAGTTGGGGAATAAAATGACTTCACTGATATGTATATAACTTTGAAAAAAAATCTGTTTAGTGAATGTGAGTAGAACTTGACTTACAATGGCAATATACCAGTACAAAATCAATTTATATAAATGTGTTGAGCAACTAATTTATCATTTTCAGGTTCTAAATTAGCATATTTTGTGAAAAATTAGAAACTGACTGATTCATAATTATTAATGTTAATTGTCAATGTACTGCAGAAAGATACAAACATTTCACAAATATTATTAATTTCTATAATGTAAACTGACAAAATATATTTCAAAACCTGCTCACCTTCAACGTATTTTCTTGGCCAGAAGTCAGATCCTGTCTCATAATATTTAATGCTGCACAATCCAGTTCTTTGATACACGAACTTAACTTCTCAATAGCTTCTTCACATTCCTTCTGGCCAGGAGCTTTATCTCTGTAAACAGGAATGTAGTAATTTTCAAGGAAAATATTTTGCTTGTTAAATTATACAGTGGTATTTTATCATTAATGATGGAGACAATAGTACAAAAAATGAAAAGACAGAAAAGGTTCCTTGCAGAAATAGTTATCACTAAAAATACATATAGAAATGCATTTCTTATTAATCTTTAATAATGAAACATGGCAAACAAAACAGCTTTGTTTAATATTAAAAATAACACGATAACTTTCAATGAATTAAACATGAATGGTTTTAGAAGTAATGTTTATTGACTTCTGTGAAATATGTAGTGTTTCAATAAGTATTTTTTTAACATGATTTAGTTTTACATGGCAATTTATAATGAAAAAAAAATATTCCCCAAAAAACTTTTGAAATACCATTTTGAATTTAATTAAATATTTATAACCAACAATTATCTAGCCATCTACCAGAACAAACATACATTCAATTCTTATTAATTTAGTAAACATTGTAGTCACTATATGGTTTTGCTTTTGTAAAAAAGAAATAGTCTATTATGTACATAATATATGATTTGTATGTCTAATTTGAATCAGAGCTGTTAAGAAAGGCACTCTGTCTTTAACAAGATAATTGTTGAGGACAGAAATGTCCTGTGTAACAAGATAACTGTTGTAGATAGTATCCTTAACAGTGTAACAAGATGGTATCTTGTTACATATAAAACTATAATTTTTATGGATGGTAACTTGAAACCTCAGGGTAGGTTTGTTCAACTCTAAACAAACCATACCAAGAAAAAAAATCTCAGACATTTATTTTTGTTATACTTTAATCAAAAGGTTGGGGAGGTTAGTGCCAACAAAAGGATATGGGTTAGTTACATAGTCTCAAACTATTATGTTTATTTCATATTGAAAGAGCTAAAGACATACAGATTTGCTATACTCACTTGATGGAGGAGACCAACTTTTTAATGGCATCTGAAACATTCTTGCTGTGACTAGCCAAACTCTGCCAGGCAGGAGGGTCTTGAGGATTGAGAGCAAGGGATTTGGCTGTTTGAATCATGTTACATGACCCATCAATGATAGATTTTCCTGCTGAAGTAATAGGTTCCTGAGCAGCTCGAGCCTGCCAAGTGAAAAATATTTTGTTCTCTACATCACATAAGTTGTTCAATCAAACAATACTGCTAAAACAAGCAATAAAAATATCTGTAGGTCACCTTTGAAACCTGCTAAAAGTTTAAAGTTACAGAAAAAAAAAGTGATTTACAACCCATAGCTTCTGATGCAAATCTATCACATTGTAATCCAAACCCTTTCCTACTCAGTGGTATGATATCAGAGTAAAGCATGGCATTAGTTTAATTTCAATCCCTCTCTTATTCCATATATATACAGAATAAGAAAAATTCAATAATGATAACTAATGAGAAATAATGGCTGGAGATGGCTTGAATGGGTAATGAAGAAAAACGTTAATATAAGTTTAACATAACAGCAAATGTACAACGTTTCGACAAGGTTTTGTCATCATCAGGTACTAATGAGAAAGTTTCTGTCAAGGTGATTTTTTTTCAGTAACATTATTTATAAGTAAATGAAAAACTAGTGTATAATAAATATGCTATACTTTCAGAAATAAAAATCAGTATCCAACATCACAATGCTGGCATCCCTATGTAACTTATTTAATCTAGTAAAGTGAAACATTGTAGTATAAAACATATCTTTCATGTGTGTGTTCAACAAAATGTCCTGACATGTCAAAAATTTACCTGTTATCAAAAAACATTTCTACAATAAAACAGAAGACTTGTTTTAACATAAAGCACTTCTCATCGATAACAATCAATACCCAATAAATATGTATTGTATACGATGTACACTTTTAAATCAGTTTTATTAATAAAAATTATTAATACGGGGCTTGAAATTTTTTGGCTAATAGCAAATACTTGCCAGTTAACTTAAAAGTTACTTGCAAAAGTGAGAGCCATGCTGGAAGGAAAAGAAGGATTCATAAGATTGTGTATGTAATTAGTAAGTTAACATGAATTTATAGTACGTGCTGTGTTATTTTTTAACATACTATGATATATGAGGTATATGTTTGTAATAACAATTACATTTTATAGTATGAAAAGAAGAAAAAAGTTATAACAAAATACTGAAACACCACTTAAAAGTGCTAACTTTATATGATAAGCTTGGGGAATACCTCTGAAAAATGTACAAGATCAATAAGCAACAAGCTAATGCAGTTTCTCTTTTGTTAGATACCTAACTGGCTACATGAAAGAAGATTAAAGAAAAGAATGAATAACTCTGACTGAAACATTAAATAATTATATAAATATATATATATATATATGAAGAAAATAAGAGTAATTTTCAGTGTATTATTGGTATGTAATTTAATTTTGTATAAAAGGGTTAGTAACACTTCTGTCTTGAAATTTAGTATCAAACTGAGGATTAGTGTTTACCATTTAAACCAGAAGTTAATACACAAACATCGTCAATGGTTTGATCTATGTTTCCAAAAAATTTTATACTAATAGAGGCTAAGTATTTTCATGTTCATGCAGATTTTGTGAAGTGAAAAAATAAGTATTTTTATCAGATCTGTGACATTCTTTTCAGGTTTGAATACATTTTTCTTATTTCTCAGATATGAGCAGACTTTATAATTTTTCCAAATTTTTAAAATCCTGTACTTTTTCAGTTCCAGATATTTCATATTTCTTAGATTTAAACAGACATTAACTTTGTTCTATGAATCTGGGCAAACCATATAATACTAGTTTATGACTCCGTAAACAAATAAGGTTGAAGGCTGTAAACATTTTGATTTGCCTCAGTAATATCTATATTATAACAAGTAATTCACAATAAATTTCATACTTCTCACAAGCATGATAAATAAATTAGAGAAGAGGGAAGACTTAGAAAGCATATGTCACAATTCTCATACTAAGGGAGATGAACCTAATCTACCATTTCATTATGATATTAAGAACTTAAAACTTATATAGTATTAACATTTGATTTATTAACTATGTTTTGATGCCAAATTTATTCATATACAATGATAATAAAGTAGTTTAATTAAGTTTTGAATGTAACTCTCTAAAAAGTCATAGCATGAACACTTTGACCTACCCGTAAGCAAGAGGGTTAAAAGATGCATATCGTGATTTTTTTCATCAGTTTAAGTATTATTGAAGTAGGAAGTACATAAGGTTTCAAAGCTAATTACTAGGATATGGTAAACACAAATATACTTAAAAAAAAGCATATATAAGTAGGATCTGCTTTACCTTTGGACTAATTTTTGCTGGAATGCTTGCAAATTCTGGGGAGTTAGCAAATGTAGTAAGACTCTCAACAGCCTCGATCAGAGGTTTTGTAGCTGCTGAACAGTTATGACGGTTGGTTTCATTTGGATCTTGATCAAGACACTGAATATGGAAAAAGCATTTTAAGTTACTTGTTATCAAAAGGAAAAGTTTTAAAAGTCCAAAAACTTTTAAAATTAGTTGATGTCATACTTGATTATTATAACTTAAAAATTAAATGTTTATGTCTCTAGATAAATTATATTAGATACTAATAAGTTAAAATAAAAAGAGAAACATTTTAATACTATTCGTAAAATCTCCTAACTATTTTAAACCTGAAACATCTATTATTAGAAATGATTTATCTCAAAGTCTGTACCAAACATTCTCATCAAAGGAAAAATTTATGACAAATACATACAATTATTCCTTTTTCATGGCCAACATTCTGCTTGTTAGCCAGTTACATGAAATTACAATTAAAATATATTTTATTAACATACCAAACAGGATTTTAATAATCACAAAGTTCCTAGTCCCTACACGGACCATACACTCAAAACCAGACTCAGTTAACAGAAATAACATATTTTAGAATACAGGGTTTTACAAAAGGTTGAAGAATGATTACTGAGTACAGAAGAAAACAACTCAAGAGATTTAAATGTACTTTAACATACTTTTTAAAATAATTAACAAGTTATATACTTAACTCTAAATCAAAAATAAATTCAAATAATGAGTACAGTTATCCAAATATACTGGTCTTCCATTTCTCATAGAGATAAGAATGCTAATGATATTTTCAGCCTTAAACTAAGGTAACACTTGAATGAAAGCAAACAGAAGTTTTCTTTTTTACTTTAAGCAAGAATTATTTTCTCATTTTACCAAATTAATTTAGTTGTACCTTAATTTCTTTCACCAAGTTGGCAGTTGCATTTGCCACATCTTTAGCTGATTGCACAAAGTGTCGTTTAGCAACTGGATTTGCAGTCTTAGAAGATGCAATTCGACAAGAATTGCACAGTGATGACGTATGTTTGGCTATAATCGTAGCTGCAGAAAGAACCTGCAAAACAAAATTTGACAATAGAAATGATTAGTTTTAAAAATATGTAACATTTAAAAGTGTGTGTTTAAATCACAAAACATTTATACCTAAAACTATAATACTTATCATTGTTTTTTTTACTACAATAATTTCCTTTAAGCACTGTTGATATTTAAAGTTTCTTAATTACTTAGATAGAAAAGCATACACAAAAACAGCTTGAATTTAATTTGGTAAATAATAAAGCTCAAACCTTGACCCACAATACTTTGACTACCTAGAACATGTGGTTGCATTCTGTTATTTGGATATACAATAACTGTGATTATACCTGAAACCTCTATACACTACTTTTTGAAATGACCATCAATAACTTTCGGCCCTTGACCTACTTTCACAGAAAAATAGGTTGACATTTAGCATATCCAGATATACCACTGGTAACTCATAGTTATCAGTCTTTTTCACTACATAATAAATATTTCCACGGGAAATATTTACGCAGTATGATCCCAGCTTTATATCTTAACCTTCAGGACAGCAAAGGCTTCTTGCACGACTCCACAATGTAAGCATGAAAAAATGTTCTATAAATAGCCACCTGTAAACTGTGGTACACAAGTTTCCAATGTAAGTCTCATAAGAGACAAACACTAAGCTACCATTGTTAATTTACACAGTTAATACGACCTAACAATATGTTTAATGACTTAGTAATAACATCATTGAAAATAATTATTTATGATGTTATGACATCATGAAGGATTAAAAAAATCAGTGAAACACAAAAATAAGAAATCCAAATATTTCAGCACATTTGCAAAGGCAGACTTTTCTCAATTTGCTCCTGATAAAGAAAGATCTACCTATTGAAAGCACTTGGGTTACTGGGTTTCTTATTTTTTGTGTTTCACTGGAAGTACTTATTACAGTGAATGTGGAATTGTTATAAAATAAATCATAGAGGTCCTATGTCATGGCTACTAACAAATAACAGAATAAAAAATTAGCTTATGAGCAATAACAGTAAATAGGTTTACCTGTTGCTGGTTGCTAGTTTGGTTTGTTAACTGTTGACAGGCCATTTGTATGGATTGGTTAGCACGAGCAAACTGTGCAAGGTCAACTAATCCTGGTTTCCCAGCAACACTGGAAGGATCGGACACCCCAACAAGGTAGGCTGCCTAGTAATTATAATTAGTAATTATTTAATAAGCTGCATTTAAGAATTATCTAGTTTCACTCCAAAGCTTCAAGTACAATTATAAATTACCTCAACTCACAATCCTTGCTAGTTATGTACAAAACATTTACCAAAGAAGGATTATATCTAAAATACAAGTCTACTTGGAACCTCAACTTGCCTTTAGTTAATAAAATAACTTAAATTAAAAGCCATATAAATGGCAATATTATGATGTAAGGATTGAAAAACAAAATAAATCACTGTACATATATTTGGACTGTTTTAACACTAAATACTTTTAGTTTAAATAGTGAAAACTCACCTTTATAATCTAAAGAGATGGCAGATAAGAAAACGTGACAACAACATATAAACACACTCAATTATCAGTATAAAACATATAATTAAGCTGTCTTCTGGAAGATGTGTGAATAATTATACTCAAAAAAACTTTCACAGATAAGCAACTCATTGCATGCATCCATGGGAAAACGTTTTCAGACTTTATTGCTTACCTCAAAAAATGTAATCACTTGTCAAGTGAGTTTTATGTGCAGGTAAACAGAGAAATGGATGCTTTATGGAATCATAAAATTCCTTACTTGAAAGTTTGTAAGAGTTTATTTAATAATTCATGTTACAAAAGAAATACAATACTCCATTCAAATATTTGGAAATTGAATTTTTTTGCACAGTAAATCTGTTTCTATCAAAAGTCTAGATCACACTCTCACCTGAGCAGCATTTTCAATTAAGCCACATATTGACTGGGAAACATCTTTGATTGCTTCACCAAATTTCTCATGCTCACTCTTCTTTGCATGATTTGCAATGCCAGTCATACCTTCACCAAGGGTCTAAAAAGATCATAATACAAATCACAGTGCCTAAGATAATCAACTTAAGTTTTTAAAGTTCCATGTTAACAAAACTGCACAAAGATTTAATATTTCCCAAATAAATACCAGCTACCTAAGAGTGATAAACTACAAGTACTTGATCTGTCTGGAAAGCTAGTAATTTTCAATTATAAAATTATCTGTGTACAAATAAAAGTAAAGTAAGACAAAAAATTCGACTCAAGTACAAGCCTACTGCAAGAAATCTATGATCAATTAATGATCTAGCTGCTGACATAGGTTGAGAAATGATTTTTTATAAAATTTGAAAACATTGTTTTGCTTCATCAGCTATGGCAGATATAATGTGTGTGTCTGTGTGTATATATGTATATACACATACACACACACACACACACACACACTATTATTTTATAGAAAAACATACAGAAAAGAAATAGAGAAAGCTGAACAATGGATTGTTCCCAACACACAAATCAAATCTAGAATTTTAGTGTTACTGCCCTCAAGCTTACAAATGAGTCACCAGGGTTGGTTTTATTATTTTTTAATACATTTAAGATTTAACAAATTCCATAACTAAAATATCTGGATGCATGCACAGATTATTTTTTGATGACCCACAGAAGACTATAGTTATACAAGCTTAATGAATACATAAGAAAAAAAATGAACCACAGATAATGATTTTCTTTGTACAGTTTTAATGCAGTTAGGCATACTAGCTTTCGTAAAATGCCACTTTTTTGTAATACTACATAAAGTCAGGCAGGATTTAGCAACAGACTAATTATGAGCTACAAACAAATCACTTCTCCTAAGCCTTATACATTACATGAATAAAGTCATAATAAACATACAGTTAAGTTTCTTCCATTTTATTTTGAATGCTTTTTTACATTCTTTTGGACATAGTTAAAGAAAAAACTGATAAATGAACAGTATAAAAAGTTGATAAATCACAAGATCAGAAACCTGGCATGCTCAAGTTATCCCATATTGTATAGGATTTATTTTCTCAGTTGTATTTTTAAAGTTTTTGCTATAATCAGATACTGTTGAGAAATAATAAAGTAAGCAAAAACAATGCCTATTTTATAAAATATTATTTTTTCTTACAGAATATGACTTCCTAATCATCAGATAATTTTAGATCTGTTAGTTTGATTCAATTTAACAATTACCTTTGATTTATCCATGACATTGTCTAGACATTCAAAGTACGAGGAATCATTAACACCTTCAGAGGGATTTTCGAGAAGTGGCCTCATCATCTAATAACAGACCATTTTTGATTAATTACAAAAATCTATATAATAAAGATAAAAAAGAAACAATGAATTTGATATGAATTGAATATTATAAAGATTTTCTTTAAAATCTAAAACTTTCAGGTATTTTTAGTTAATTTTGAAATTTTGTTCAATACAGATTTTTTTAAACACTACTTCAGTGTTATTGGAAATAGAAAAATGAATTTCTTTAAATTAAAAATTAATAAATAAGACTCAGTGTTAAATGAATATTAATTCCTTTTCCCACCTGAATGTTTCTGATGGCACTGTCACACTCCTTTTGACCTGGTGCTGTAGATGTGCAGACATTTATCAGATAGTTGATGCTCTCCGTCACAGCCCTTAATTAAAAAAAAACACAAAATCCTCAGTAATTTTAAAATATGAACATTTACAGAAAAGCATTGAAAGTGTGCAACTATTAACCTGCAGTGTTATGGACTTTTCCACAATATACACCAAATAATTCCTCACCCTCAAAAAAGTAGATATAGATGCCAAAATCCTCTCTCAATTTGTTGTTGAATTCTGACTGTTTTTCAAAATCCCACTTTGCTACCATTATAATGAAAGTGATTGATCTCCAGTGTAACCTTGAAATTCATCAAAAGTTGATCAATTGGTCCTTAGGAGACACACTTAACTTTTATATTAAATTTGATGAAAATGTTTTGAGTTATACTGTTCACACACGGAGGACAAAAAACAAAACCCCCACAATTAGCAGGAATAATTACACATTAACCATTCCAGGAGTAATTACACATTAACCATTCCAGGGGTAATTACACATTAATCATTCCAGAGGTAATTACACATTAACAATTCCAGGGGTAATTACACATTAACCATTCCAGGGGTAATTACACATTAACCATTCCAGGGGTAATTACATATTAATCATTCCAGGGGTAATTACACATTAACCATTCCAGGGGTAATTATACAATAATCATTCCATATCTTGCTAAAAACCTATTCAATATTAGTTTAAAAACATTACTGTATATAAAAGAATTATTGAAATGAAACTAAGAAAAAAACCTGGTGCAGCTAGCTATCACAAATACTAACTTGTTAAAAAACAAGAACAGTGTAAAGTCAATTAAAAACATATATCCTATCATTACTCAAATCACCTTGCAGCTAGAGCTAACTGGTTCTTTGCATTAGGAGCACCAGGATCAGCAGAAACAGACTTAGCTGCAACTAATAACTTGCTTGATACCATGGAAACATTCTTAAGACTCACCACCATCTGCCCTCTAACTTCCATGTCCTGGAATGATGCATAAAATAATTTTGTTACTTAACTGCATGGCAAAAATCTATATTGCATACATTTTTATGTTTTCTTTTTTTATCTACAGAATTATCTTTTATACAACGACTTCAAACTTATATTAACCACACTGGAAAAAAATCATGCACAGTTAAGACAAAATTAAAAGGCAATATCCAACCTTATATTTAAATTTTTATTCTATTTACAGATAATTTAATTTTCACACACAAAAAACATTTATTTGCAAGTCAATTTCATTTGGAGCTAAATCAGATAATTTTTGTAATGAAGTTCTGATATTTTTAACTAGAGCAGTGTTAAAAACAATAATAAATGAAACAGTATTTTATGAAAATGTACAGTCATTAACAACTGAATATTAAGACTACTATAAACTGGCTGTTTCACTGTAAACTTACAAATGTCTAAACTAGAACAGTTTAATCATTAGATTTAAAGAAACAATATAAATATGCCCAAGAGCTTCTAAAATATAACCTACTTTTGTTTGTCCAATAATCTGAATCCCACAATCCAGTAAATCACCAAAAGCACTTCCAAACTTTTTGGCAGAAATAGCCAACTGTTTTGGTGATCCCTTTGATGCTTCCATTACATTGCCAACCTCACTATTCAAATTAGCAGCAGCAGAACTTAAGTTACTCTGGAGTTCACTGTATGATCGATTGGAGCTTGGGAACTGAAAAACAAACAAATAGCGAGAAGACCTTTTAAATTGCAATCAAACAATTTTATTTCATGCAAAACATATTTCAAATAAACTTAAACTAGAAAAAATTCCGATTTGTAATACAGACCATTTTGATTGAAATTAACTCGTAACATATTTTAACAAAAGTATTTTTTGCATTAACTACAAGAATTTTGTTTTCAATTGAAAGATACACATTTCAGGTTGAATTTTTATTTCTTACCACCTAAGAAAATACTTTAAAATATTCTTGTAGAATTTAACATGCGCTGAATGATAATAATAAAAAAGACCATCTGACAAAAGAAACTTGTTTTCACTTTTACCTCATGGGAATTTAAAGCTTGCGTGGCTTCAGTGATGCCACGAATTGCATCATCAACATCTCTCTGGCCAGGCAGACAGTTTACACAGTTGTTTAAAGCTACTGACACAGATTTGGCTACCTGGAAAGTAATTATCAATTCTATGAACAACTCAAGCTATAAATGTTTTAAAACACCAAGTACTAATGTAGTGGCAATTATGCATTATTTATAGATGCAAATAAAAACATTAGCATTATATCAATACAAATAAATTATTTTTAATAATAACAGTAATTTACTAAATATTAAAAAGAATTATTAGTATTGGATGAAAATAAATTTTAACCTTCTGGCAATAAAAAAAATATAAATGAATTATAAAATTATCTCTATCATACTTATTATAATTCTTATTTTTTAGGAAACCTTTGTACTTTATAAGAACATTGTAGCTTCACAAAATACATTAGATGTTATAAATCAAATGCTGCAAACTTAAAACTAATCACCAATGGGAATAAAAGAAAACGACATGTTATTAAACATCACTATGCAATCAATTTTTATTACTAATGAAGATTTAGCTGGCTTTCAATAAAACTTCTTTATAAAAAGTTAATTGCAAGCATCCTCAACTAACTTGCACAACAAACTGTATGAAAATAAAATATTATTAATCTGTAGTTTAATTACATGCAAGAAAATTATGCATTTTCTAAGCTTTAACCCTTCTCCTGATGGGTAGGTCCAAGTGTGCATGTCACAACCTTTTAGAGAGTTACTGTATTTTTCAGTGTATAAGACACTTTTCACCCCAAGATTTGATGTCAAAATCTGCTTGCGTCGTATACACTGAAAGTATGAATAATATATAT